CACCGTTGTGGCGCGAAGCACATTTCGAAGTCAAAATTCAGAGTTGCGACAGGTCCGACAGGGGAAAAGTGCACGCCGTTGTGGCGCGAAACATATTTCGAAGTCAAAACGTACAAAGCACACCATTCTCGGACCACTCTTGGAAGTTGAGATGTCGAAAAAGTGCACGCCGTTGTGGCGCGAAGCACATTTCGAAGTCAAAATGTACAAAGCACACCATTCTCGGACCACTTTTGGAAGTTGAGATGTCAAAAAAGTGCAAAGAGCCAATCTGGTAGCACGAAACGCAATGGGATCAAATTTCTACATGCGAGTTGCGAGACAATAGTTTCATCGTGTAGCAGGTGGAAAAAACACCGACGAAGGTGATGATCCCATGGCTGGCAGTGAAGGAAAGGAATCAGAGAGTCCTACACATGACCCACATGTTCTTGCAGGTAGCGTTGGGGGCTCAACCGGTAGACCAGTTGGGGTTCAGTCCTTGATGGATGACTTCACGACCCACCTCAACAATGCTTTGGCCAAAGAGCATTTCCAAGATGCCTCCGTCATCCAACACTTGATGATGGGTTTGCTTGACTTGACATATCAGAATGAAGTCCACGACCCAGCACGTCGACGCTGATTCCTGGACCTGTTGATAGACAGATTTGAACGGATGATGACAGATGCGAGGGGACATGGACAGATTAACATTGCAAATGTCTACGATGCACATCTCCATGAATGGAGAAAAAAATCCAAAATGAGCTGGTCAATCCAAAATGAACAGGAGTACTAAAATCTTGGGACAGTGCTCTCAGTTTGCATTTCGTGTCAGTTCATGTGAGATTCAGTTGGCCATGCACAAATTGAGAAGTGTCGCGCAGCATGTGCTTGCATGAGAAATTCATGGCAAAATCACTCACTCGTTGAAGCCTTTGGCGTAGAGGTAAAAGGAGTGGCAGCTGCTACGCAGTATCCTTTGATGTCGAAATGCCGTCGCCTTTTCATGTTTTTCGTTAAACGGAGAAAAAGGGGGTGCATTTGGACTTTTTCAGCGCATTGAATCACAAAGACGTATGCAACCCGCATATGTTTAATTCACTACGGTGTCGTCGTGAATAGGTTTTAGCAGTTGCATTGACCAATGGAGTTTATTCCATGATGACCGTTTGTACTTTGTGATAGTGCTGCGCCTTGACTTTCCCGAAACTTGCTAGCCGTTGAAAAATACATACACGGAGTCATTTTTATCAAAAAAACAGACACCATGTTAAATTTGATGATGCATGCAACCAATTTGCATTTATTTCCACCGCGTCTCAAATCGGCTCCATCGGCCTCATCGCGGCTCCGTCGGCTCCAGCGGCTCCATCGGCCTCATCGGCTCCAGCGGCCTCATCGGCTCCATCGGCCTCATCGGCTCAATTGGCCTGATCGGCGCCAGCGGTTCCAGCGGCTTCATCGGCATGTTTTTCTGGAAAGCCTATTACGGCCCGAAGCAGGCGGAATCACTTGCATCCATTTTGCGCCTATGGTTTGCTTCGCTGCCTTTTGATTAGTATTGATCCATAGCCTCTTGGCTTGCGATATAGCCTGCAAGTGTCGAACGTACGGCCCCCCCCCATTCGATTCCCCCCTGGTCCGCAGCCAAAAATGGACTCGGCGCATGTTGAAAAAGGAATCAGCGCATGTCACTGGAGATGGGTGATATTGGATATTTAATATGATGGGGAACAGCTAACATGAACCACAAACATAATATATATATAGATATATATATATATAATATAGTGGCTGTGTCTTGTTGCATATTGCCAGTTATGGATCCATATCTTCTATTCAGATGCTAACGCCGGCGGCTGACCAGAGAGGTCCTGCACAAGGCAAAGTGACTCAACTGAACCTCTCTCGGTTGAGGCACTATGAGTTTGGACGTGTTGCATTGAAAAAGCATCTATCTTCACAGAAGAAGTTCGATAGGTTATCATCTATACATATTATATCAAAATAATGATTGATATTGTATGTACAGTATACAGCACTATATCTGTGTCTACATATAAATATATAAAATAATGCATTATAATATTATATATATACGTTGTTGTGTGGAAATGACACCAACTGCTCGGACCTGCGGTGTCAACTGCAGAGCATGAACACACGACAAAAAGTTTGCGAATTCAAACATGCTCAGTGTCAAACACAAGAGCAAACTGAACAAATGCACTAAGCCAGTGGCAAATAGTTTGCATTATGTCGCATGGATCTGCCATCAAGAACTCTGTTACCCACTACTATGATGTCTCTCGCTCTGAATACAAGTCGAACCAACCACCCTCCCACCACAATATCTCGGTCTAACTTTGAATGGAAAGTGAAAAGATCTGAAAAGAACATACCCAGATATACTCAGTGATAAGCAGAACAATCTCTATATGAGCAATCAACACAAGTGTGGTGCCGCTAGTTCCATAGAGAAAGATAGCCTTTATACCAAGTCCCTCGCCCTGTGCTGTTGTCCCGAGAAAATCGAGCACCTGAGCTGTGCTCCGGGAAAATCAGTGTACATTGTACACACGCATACATATATATATATATAAATACAAATGTATATATATATATATGTATAGAAAAAAACATTTGTCACACACCATCTTTCACACCCAATCTTTGACACACCAGCTTACACACAACTTTGTCACACACCGTCTTTCACACACCATCTTTCACACACCATCTTTGACACACCATGTTACACACACACACACACCATCTTTCACCACACCATCTTTCACACACACACAACTTTGTCACAAACCATTTTTCCTCCACCTCCTCCTTTGTCTTTCCTTCCTTCCCCGTCCCTGCTGCAAAATTTGTTGATCATTATTGGAAGAAGTTGACTTGTGGGGTTTTGCGGTCCCTTAACTTTCTTCTCAATAAGAAGCAATTCGGTGCTCTACGCGCATCACAGACACGAGCTCCATGCTCCAACTGGAATACTTTACGAGACCATTCGATGTTCTTCACAGGTCATGGACAATGCTCATGTTAGATAAGAAAACAATAGCAGTATGTCCCTTCGCAGCGACACTTATCGCTGAGCCGCAAGCCTTTTAATAGTTCCCACGAAACACAAGGACGGTTTCGTCTCCTGCAATTGTTGCTGTTGTTTTTGCTTCAGACATCTTCACGCACTTAGCCGCGTGAAGGTTACATCTATAAAGACCTACACGCAAAGTGCCTCAACCGAGCGTCGATCGGTTGAGGCACCTTGGCCCCTCTAATTCACATAGGCTGCCAACAAACTGACTAACGTTATCTTGCTTGTGGTTCTTATTACTGACTATGGCACGGGGTGTGTGGAATTTAGATATTGAGACAAGATGCATGCAAGAAGTTGTTGATGCCAGGGAAGTTCGGATATTGCAACAGCAAAAACGTAAGAAGTGGCGGAGAGGCCAATAGGGGAAGTCTACGTATGAAACGAAATGGATGCAGGAAATTGAGAGGCACCCAGGGGGAAGGGAAAGTTCGATATATATTGAAACAGAATGAACGCAAAAAGTTGTTGAGAGATATGCCCCCACCTACCTTTCGTCCTCCCCCTCTCAAGTGGCACGGTTTGCTGCCACATTTCCATCCATTTACAAACTGGTCAGACAATTTGTCTGCCGCATTGTATGACAGTGGTCACAAGGTGGGTTTTTTCAGCACTTACAACGAAACCCTTCGATCAATCCATGTTAGCCGAGTTATGCAGTTGATGACAGATGCTGATCGAAATGTCCGCGAACAGGGTGGTGGCATTGTGCCATTAAATGTTTTGTGTGAAAGAATATCCGGGATGATGTCCTGTCCGAATTTGCTAGGTGCAAACAGAGCCCTTCAAAACCCTGATGTACGTGCTTTAGCAAACTTGGCTGAACTTGCTGGAGTTGATTTACGGATCGTGCTGTTGGTTCGACATCCGGCGAGTGTTGTCAGTAGTGGTCTGAGAAGGGGTTACGAGAAAAGTGGTCTGATTCACGCCATCAAGATGTACACTTCGACCCTATCTTTGTTGAGTTCGCAACTCAGCCTGCTTGATCCTTCTTTCATTGCTTGCTGGAGATATGAAGCACCCACTGCAGGGATTTCTGACCTGGTGTCATTCATGGGGGCACAGGAGGAAAAACCTGGGGATTTGAAGCGACTCATTGCTGGATCGTACAGAGGCAAGAAAAAAACTGTTGCTTCTGCAGGGTCGAAACTTGCAGATGAAACCTTGCAAACTGCCTCGGCCTTGCACAATGAGATTCTCGCAAAATATTGCAAACCAAGATTGACACGTTCCGGGCATTGACAATGAAGCGTTCCGGAGACTGACTGTCAGACCCTGTTGGCTTGTTGGTCTATCCTTTATGATATGACTATGAGTCCCACAACAGGCGGGGAAGCTTTGCACGAGGACCCGAGCTAATCTTAGCTGCCTATTAAAAGAAGTGCCTGCAGTGCCAGGATGTGGTGCCGTGGTGCCATGGTGCCGTGGTGCCTGTTAAACCCTTTCCCGTGGTGACATCTCTGTGAGCTGTAATGAATCAACTCGCCACACGGATCACCAGGTCTCTTTCCACCGATGTCTTGATTGGTACTTGAAATTTGTTTGTGCCAGTTTCACAGAATTTGTTTTCTTTTCAAGGGCCTCTTTGCAACCTTCCTCAGACACAGGTCCAACAAGATCTAGTCGAATCATGTCGAATTAGTTATGGACACCACAAAGGTGTGTACACGATGTCAACCGAGAGCATTTCGATGTTTCCGCTGTCGTTGAGGGTAGTGTGACGCCGGCGCACCAAAGTGTCGGCTTTAAAGAGGCGTGTAATTTAGTGAAGGACGCAGTGATACCATGTGATACCTGTATGTTGCATTTCATGCTGTGATTGTTGTGGCTTTCGTTTTTCAGCTTGGAATTCCACTTGCAAACACAAGTGCAAGAGATGTCATTTGTTCCGGTCTATCAATGGGCGGAACAACGATCAGCTATAAGAACGCAACCCCCTTGAACCATGGCCAATGGCGGGTCCGGGAGCTGGAGAATGGGCCAAAGGCGATGTGGAAACTTGGTAATTTTGTCGTCCCAGGTGTGCAAATTTGGAAGTTTGGGAATAGGGGTTAAGGTGGTTAAGGCTTGCTTCACTGAACATTTTCAGCATGCAGCTTTGTGGCCCGTTCCAAGGATTGGAATGCGCATGAACCGCTCAACATCGGAGCCCAGATTGAGGGAATGGAAATTCCAATAGGATTATTTAAAAGGACGTTTGCTGCAACCCTGACATTTGCCCGCCGGTCTCCCGAGACAATTGCCATCTTTCACAAGAGTAGTACTTTCCTCTGTGTTTCTACATACAGCATCACAATTCGAAAAAGTTACAGTCTAAACTTTGAAGTCCTCAACCATCTGGAAAGCTAAAGCTCTAAATTTAAAACCCCAACCCCCATCCCACGCCCAACGCCTCAACCCTAGCAACAAAATCCTCAAACCCTCTCTTTTTCTGGGAAAATCTGAACTGGAGCGAAGATGCTTTAGCGACATTTCTGTGAGGTCTTGCAGGAAAGTTTCTCATACTTCAGACATGATGCAATTGGTCCATCAGTGGACAAGTAATGACAAGTGCGTTATGGAACTGACCATCTTTTATTGTACGGTTCCTTAATCTTCGGCGAAGGAGCTGGGAATTTGTTTAAGACTTTCCCGGGGCGCCGCTGCATTCTGGTTGCGCATGAAGGGCGATTGGTCTACGATGCTTGGGAGAAGACCCGGTTTGCAGTTTTGCACGTTGGCAAAAGCGATTTGATGAACGATTTGTGGTCGACAGAAAACAGATGAAAACAGAAATGGTCCTTTGCATCTCAAGGCCCCAAGGTACATTGATTCAATGCTGCGGGAACAAAGGAACACTATGCCCCTGGTGCAGGGCCTTGGGAACAGATTGAGTTGGACAGTGCAGCCAAGACGGTGAGCGCGTTGCTCATCGGAGTGTTGGTCACGACCCTTGGATGAAATGAACCAATTCACTGCAACCAATGCAAAAAAGCAATGCTAACAAATCTTGGGAGTGAATGAAGGGGCAGTTTTGCGGTATGGCAATTTGTGTCCTTTGATTTTCATACATATATACATAAATATATATATGTGTAGAATACATATATGATATACATTGATATACTCCCTCTCTCTCTCTCTATCTATCGCTACATACATGCATACATGCATACATGCATACATGCATACATGCGTACATGCGTACATGCGTACATGCGTACATGCGTGCATGCGTACATGCGTACATGCGTACATGCGTACATGCGTACATGCGTACATGCGTACATGCATACATGCGTACATGCGTACATGCGTACATGCATACATGCATACATGCATACATGCATACATGCATGCATGCATACATGCATACGTGCATACATGCATACATGCATACATGCATACATGCATACATGCATACATGCATACATACATACATACATATACATATACATACATATACATATACATATACATATACATATACATATACATATACATACATACATATACACATACATACATACATACACATACATACATACACATACATACATACATATACATACATATACATACATATACATACATATACATACATACATATACATATATACATATACATACATACATATACATACATACATATACATACATACATATACATACATATACATACATACATACATAGACATACATACATATACATAGACATACATACATATACATATACATATACATATACATTTACATATACATATACATTTACATACATACATACATACATACATATACATATACATACATATACATATACATATACATATACATATACATATACATATACATATACATATACATACATACATATACACATACATACATACATACACATACATACATACACATACATACATACATATACATACATATACATACATATACATACATATACATACATATACATACATATACATACATATACATACATATACATACATATACATACATATACATACATATACATACATATACACACATATACGTACATATACATACATATACATACATATACATACATATACATATACATATACATACATACATACATAAACATACATAAACATACATAAACATACATAAACATACATAAACATACATAAACATACATAAACATACATAAACATACATATACATACATACATACATACATACATACATATACATATACATATACATATACATATACATACATATACATATACATATACATATACATATACATATACATATACATATACATATACATATACATATACATACATACATATACACATACATACATACATACACATACATACACATACATACACATACATACATACACATACAGACACATACATATACATACATATACATACATATACATACATATACATACATATACATACATATACATACATATACATACGTACGTACGTACGTACATACATACGTACATACGTATATATGTACATACGTACATACGTACATACGTACATACGTTCATACGTACATACGTACATACAGATACACATTGTATATGCTTGCTGATTGCCACCTGCACGGGGTTCCTGGTATGGAATTAGGCAAGGCAGATTGGAGCTTGACAGACCTTTGGCACACTACAACGTGAAACCTGCGGCCTATTGGGGTGACTTTGATGCGCCACAAAGTGAGCCGTGCAATTGATGGCAACTACGCACATAGAGTTTCAAGCCTTTCAATGGAATGCGACATATGCGTACATAATCAACAATTCCATCTGCGTTGTCTGTGCTTGTATTCCCGTGTCTTCGTATTGAGTCGTTACCGTTTTCACGTGAGGTGAACATCAGGAGTACTGGCCCTTGATTACCGCCCGACATCTACTCACTCACACCTCGGGCTTGGGGAAAGTACCGCCAGGAACCCAATTTGAGCATCTTGGTGACGGCGGATGTGGCAAGTTGTGTCCAAGTTGTCAAGTCATAACATTCATTTTATTGTTTTTTATTGTTTTTTCGTCTTTGAAACATGAACATTTTAATGCACTGGTCTCGCCTGACCATGCTTGATACGTGATACATTTGATACCACAGGGTGGCTGAACTTCCACAGGCTGCAACTAACTTCAGCTGACGCACGTAGATTTGGATGTCCTGAAGCTTGAGCGCAAACAACAAATGTTCTATATAGTCTTTCTACAAATTGCAGAACACAATGACACAAAACCAATCAGGTTGGAAAATGTGCTGCAACATGCTGCAGCTCATGTGAAACTGTTCCCCAAAAGGAGTGGATTCCAGTACGCAATTAAAATTAATTCACGATCTAAACCGTCACCATCAGATACACTTCAACCTGTCCCTGCCAGGTGTGAACTCGAGATTTAATCCCTTTTGTTGCTGGATCATTTTGGGAGGATTAAATTCTGATTTAATTCTTTGCCAATGACATCTGGAGATTCCAGGGGGAGGTATCCACGTGTGGGGAATGAAATCTTGATTCAACTCTTTTTTATGGTGTGCGGCTTTCATTTTTTGGCATTAAATCTTGATTTAATTCCTTTTCATTGGGAAATCCAGAAGACTTCGGGCAATTGCGCTATTTAAATCTATTTAAGCGCTTACGCGCGACAGCCGGCCAGGGGCCCAACTATGTTGGCCCATCTTGTGGCTATATGTTGGCCTATGTTGGCCTCATGTTGACCCATGTGGAGCCAAAAGATCCGAAAAATGAGGCCTATGTTGGCCCATGTTGGCCCATCTTGAGCCATAAGATCCGAAAAATGACAAAAAATGGGAAGAGCACAAAACACCATAAAACGCGGGACTTTTTGGCCCTACCGGGTGGGTCGGAGGCAGGGGGGCGCAGCCCCTCTCTCCTACGGAGAGGAGAGAACTGCCGTACGGCAAGGACACGGCCAGGGGGCCCCTGGCCGGATTACAGTTAAACTATATCAACTATTACAGTTAAACTTCGGGCAATTGCACTTAAAGAGACTACATGAAAAGAGTAGAGAAGAGACAGGGAAAGAATCAGAAGGATGGAGAAGGTAAAGGAGAAACAAGAGAGTTGAAAAGAGAAGGGACGAATATATACAAGCAGAGTAGGCAAGAAGAGGGAAGAAAGAGCATGAGGTATCAGAGCCAATAAGAACAGAATTAACTCAAGATTTAATTCCTTCTCAAGAGATCCTATACCAACTGAAAGAGCAGGAGGTATCAGAGCCAGTATGAACATAATTAACTCAAGATTTAACTCCTTGTCAAGAGATCCTATATCAACTATTACAGTTAAACTTCGGGCAATTGCACTTAAAGAGACTACATGAAAAGAGTAGAGAAGAGAAAGGGAAAGAATCAGAAGGGTGGAGAAGGTAAAGGAGAAAAAAAGAGTTGAAAAGAAGAGGGAAGAATAAATACAAGCAGAGTAGAGAAGAAGAGGGAAGAAAGAGCAGGAAGTATCAGAGCCAATATGAACAGAATTAACTCAAGATTTAACTCCTTGTCAAGAGATCCTATATCAACTATTACAGTTAAACTTCGGGCAAGTGCACTTAAAGAGACTACTTGAAAAGAGTAGAGAAGAGAAAGGGAAAGAATCAGAAGGATGGAGAAGGTAAAGGAGAAACAAAAAGAGTTGAAAAGAAGAGGGAAGAATAAATACAAGCAGAGTAGAGAAGAAGAGGGAAGAAAGAGCAGGAAGTATCAGAGCCAATATGAACAGAATTAACTCAAGATTTAATTCCCTCAAAAGATATTGTTCTAGGCCTCAAAGGTAGAGAATTAACTCTCGAGTTGAGCCGTGCACCATTGACCTGGAAAGCGAACAGATCATGAAGCATTGAAACACGATTTGATCTTAATTAAATCTTGCATTCATTCCCTTCCAACTGTTCCCTTCCTGGCAAAGCACTCATTGACGTTATCCGCCTTGTCGCTTCCTGACAGCTTCCTGACAGCTTCCTGACAAGTAGGTTTCCTCTGTGGATTTGGGGAGTTTATGGGAGTTTATGGGAGTCCCTTGATCGTCACAGAATGTGTTTCAATGTGTTTCACACTGGTGACATCACAGGTACAACAGCGGGGAGCACATCCAGCACTTGAGTCTTTTGATCGGAGCCCTGACCCGATCAACTCATGCCACGCCTGTGGACTGGGCAGAGGAGAGTTTTGCCAAACCCATGGGACTGCCAGGACCAGACCCCGAGGGCCCCGAGCCGCTCCCACTGCAATCTTTGTAACTTCTTTGTTGATTGTTGAGAGATGCTCACAGCAGATTTCACTCCGACATGGTAGTTCAACGATATTCAATGATACTGAATTTTTTCAGATAATTCAAAGATTATTCGGAACAGTTTGGATCACTTTTTTGAAACTTGGTCTTCCAGGACTCTTCCTTCATGATGGCTTGGACGGAGAAATCTCGATTGGTGGTGGTCAACTCATGAGCTGCCCGCAACTTGCAAGGATCGGTCAGCTCTTGGTGTCTTGATGAGAACGTTTGGAGTGCAACTGCAATTAGATTGCTCACTTCTTTTCGGAGACCAGGTCTTTTTCACAGGAACATTTTCATCCCTTAGTATGATCAATGGCCATTTCAGGAACCTAAATTGGAGGTACCTACCATATATAAGGCCTATATAAGGCCTATGTAAGGGAATATCACCACAAAATATAGCCTTATATGGTACAGTACCTTCATTTTAGGATCCTGGAATTCCCATTGATATGAATGGTTTCTTCCCGTGGTGGTCTGCTGGTACATTGCAAGTGCAACAAATGGCTGACATCACTGACATCACTTTCCTATTTTCGTTCCTTCCCGTTCCTTTGTGTTCTTTTTGTTGAAACATTGACGTCTTCGTACGCCAAGGTCAACCGAGGGAAGTGGCCAGTGTCTGCTGCGCCTTCATGGCCTTTGGATTTGCTCCCTTGGGCCACCAACAGGTGGAACTGGCTGGCACTGACTGGAACTGGCTGGAATTTGGGGATGTGCCACGACATGCCCATGACATGCCCATGACATGCCCATGACATGCCAATGACTTTCTAAATAGCGATCTTCTCCATAATCCAAATGCAGTGTCATGCAGCTTCATTCTGACAAACAGCATAAATGCGAAAGAGTGCCAGTGAAGCTTGTGAAACTTGTGAAGCTTGACTGCTTGCCAGGACCTCCCTTTTTCAACTTGTGAGTGAAACTTGGCTCATGTGCTTCAACTGTTGTGATTGATCCTTCAGGCACCTCAAAATATGCTTCAGTACTGCTTTCTTGTCGGCAATTCCAAACGGTGCCTACCTTGGGCTTGAGGAAGACTACATCACAGAAATGACGCGTCCATCTTTCCCAGAGGCACGGAAGAAGTCTTTTCCGATGTCTTTTCCGACGTCGAGTCCGAAACGCCAGGTGGTCTCCACCTATGGCTTTCTCCTTTGGCTGAACCATGCGACTGGTTCCGACGACTCAAGCTGCTGCATGTGCACCTGTGGTGCGTGCTTCGGAGTTCCCAGCCCACCCATCTTTGGCATCAACGAGGATCTCGCAGATTCAAGTGGCAAGATATGGCAAGATACAGAGTATAGATGAGTATAGACAGTATAGACAGTATAGACAGTGTAGACCGACCTTCCAAAGGCTCAAGGCTGCAAAATTTGAGTTATTTAAAGCCTGCAAGGAAAAGATTGAACAAGCAACACAATTGACTTTGAGAATAGAACACCGATAAAGACCGTGTTATGCTCTGTGTAGTCTTGTGGAGATCGAACTTGGGGCTCTGACAGGAGGCATGGTTTGCCACTGGGTTCTTGACTCGGTACTTGATCGTGCTTCCTCAACGAAATGCCTTTGTGGTTTCGCTAGGCAAGGGGCTGGGCCTCAGCCATTATTGTTTTCGCACAGGTTTTGCATTTGTTCTGTGTGAACATTCTATGAACATTCTCAATTATTCTCACAGGTGTCATCACATTTCAGTCATTTCAGTCATTTCTATTCATTTCTGCTTTGGGAGGGATGGATTTGACGGGCTCCACTCCCTGTGCTGCTTCTTGGTGACATTTGGCGACGTCTGCATTTGCTTATTTGGTTTTGGCTATGGGTGTCTAAGCTATGGCAAGTTTCCATTTGGATGTCTTCCAGTTGATTTTCTTTGTAGAATCAAGTTGAACGTTTAGTCATCAGGCTATGACACATCGTTCTGTGAGCTCAGGTGACCTGGTCCTGGTTTTCGTTGACGTATGATGACTCATTTGGGGCTCTCTTGCACTATTTAGCACCCAGGTCGCAGAAGTGGCAACGCCCTCACACAAGATTTTGGAAAAATTGAATCATGTTGACTCTTCGCCCGCTTGAGTCGCTTGTGGAATTCCTGAGGTGATCCAAGCAGCTTTGCCCATTCCTGATTCCACCACCACTCAGACTGTCACATCTTCAACGACCACTCGCACATTGACGACATACACCACCACTTCCCAAACTACCGAAACTGCCGCGCCTTGGCTGCTTGGGCTGCTTGAGCTGCTTGACTCACACCCGCCCCAACTCCCCAGCTCTCCAGCAGGTGAAAGACACCACAGAAGCTCTGACCACAACGACCACAACGACTACAACGACCACAATGACCACAACGGCTGCGGACACTGCGGAGGGCTGGTCACCATTGAGTTGGCTGTGGCCAACCACTACGACCACCGACGGCTGGTGGCCCTTCGAGTTGATGCAGATCCTCGTTTCGAGCGAAAACTCGATGGTTGACAACTGTGTTTTCAACAAATGTTGACAAAAACTCAATGTGTTGACAAAATGAAACGCAGTGCAAAGGTTTCACACACACACACAACACTTCCACGATTTTGGTCCGCATTTGCACCGTTTGTTACATAGAAGTTGCAACTCTTGGAACAGAACTGAGGACGAGTGGTGAGCCACTCGGAAAGTTAAGGGGATTCACTGCAGCAGAAAGCCTCATCTTTAGGGAAGGAGACCACTGCACTTCTGTGTCACATCTCAGTGGGGATGAATTTTAGGCAACTTGCAGGGTACATAGTTGGTGATATGTTGTTGGCTTTGCCTCACAGCTGCTTGGATTCTCATAGCCTCATAGCATTGCTGCAGCATTGCTATGCACTGTGGGTTTGGAAATTTATGGAACTTTGATGAACTTTGAGGTTTTCCAACGAGAGCTCCGGGGAAAAGGACAAGCTCACTGCAGCCTCTGCAAGCTCTGCAACCTCAGACTCCACCACCAGCACCACAACCTTTGACCTGTCTACGGTGATTTACAATCACGGCTGCTCGCCTGCTCGCTTCGTTGAACATATTGCAAAAAATGCAAAACAACTCGATTTGTTTGTAAAGCTTTGCATATCGCCTGTATACTGTATAATCCTGTATAAATTCAGCATAAAGCAGTATGAGGCAAGCCAGTGCAAGCACGTGGTGTGTCTGCACAATTCTGTTGGCAGTTTCATTCAGAGGCAATATGTCAGGTGGGTCAAAGTTATTCCAACATGTTTTCATACTATTCGTTCCGCACATGTCACGCGCCATTTTGAGGCACAAAGTCCAACTTGACGCAGCGGAAAAAACGCAAGGAGAAGAAGAAACGCAAGGAGGCTGAAGATGAGGATGATCAGGCAAGTAGTGCCACTTGGGTCGGGTCAGTTGAGTCAGTTGAGTCAGTTGAGTCAGTTGAGTCAGTTGAGTCAGTTGAAGTGTCAGTCATTTGAAAGTCTGAAGACTTCCCGAGAGTTGCTGAAGCTTTGCTGAAGCTTTGCTGAATTTTTCCTGTGAGCAACTGGTCAGCAACTGGTCAGCAACTGGTCAGCAACTGGTTGTCGCCAGGCGGAACCTTCTCGAGCCTTGGCAGAGAGTTGCAGGATTACGGACAGAAAACTCAATCTATTTGACAAATCAAGGCACATTTGGCATGTAAAATGAGACAAATAAAACGAGACAAACATATTGTAACATCCTGTCAACACACACACACACATCAACATGACATGTTGTTATCAGCATCAATAAGCATCCAAGGATACATTGGTGGATCCTGCACTTGCAGTTGCCCAATAGATCAAGATTTTGGTCGCTGCTATCCTTTGCCTGACATGGTCTTTGAACGCTGGCATTATGGCCAAGAGGCTAAGGGCCCGGATGGGATGGGAAGGGAAGGCATGATTGCATGATGGCATGATGGCAGATTATGGCATATTTTATGGCATCTTCAATTATATCCACATGTGAAAATTATAGCATGATTATGTTGAAAATGCTAGGTATGTTATTACAAATATGTTACAATATATTATGTTGAGAATTTGTTGTTTGATTTTGATGTGGATTCTGTGGATGTGTGGGATGGCCCTCATTTTCACAGCAGACGTACTGTACAATTCGCTCAGACATCCTGTACTCTTTGGCTAACTTTGTAGTCGCGAATGGAAGAATTTCAATCAAACCTCATACAATTTATATAGAATTATATATCTAATCATTCATATTCATTCATATTCATTCATATTCACGGCCTCTTCAAGACCTCTTCTACTCTTCTACGACAATTTGGAACAAATTTGGATTAGTATTTTCCAAACAATCCATTTGAATCCATGCTTCTTGCTGGGCCCGTTCCGAGGCCTGTGACGTTTTGGGGTCAAAGTACCTCAGCACTGAACAAAGTTGTCCAAACGTGGGCCTCTCGGCATCAATCGACAAGAAGCACCTGGAGCTTTCCTGAAAATGAAACTCTGTGCTTGTTAGTATTACTTGAATTACTTGTTGATTCCCCAATCACTTCTTAAGTGGGAATGCATGTAATGGCAATACATCAGTATATCAGTATATCTATCAATATACTTACCTACTTTCCTGCCGAGATTTGAATCCAAAGAGTCTTTTGACATTCGTTCTTCAGTCCCAAGCTTTTTTAAGTAAACAGAGCGCCTGATCTCACCTGTTATAACAGCTGTTATAACATTTACAACAGCTCTCTGGTCGCTCTGGTCGCTCTGGTCGCTCTGGTGAGGCATTGTTCAACCCTGCGAGAGCAACTCCTGGGCCATAGGCTGGACGCAGCAAATGTGCAGCGCGACTCCCAAATCTCCGTGCCATTGAAGTCCAGGTGGCAGCACTCACAATGTATGCGGCAGAAACTTCTGGCATCAGGAGAATGCAGGGTTTCAAAGTCTTCAGTAACCTCTTCTGTGTACTGTTTAGTATATAGTATAATATAGTATAATACATTTATATATATATATATAATCTAATATGTATGATATTGTTTGTATGAATGCATGTGACAATGTGCAATGTGCAGTTTGTGACTGTTCGAAGTTGCATGTGTTTTTTTGCCCGAAGGACATTGGTGTGAATTGCACACAGCTCACTTTCTGTGAGAGGAGCCCGAAGCTCAGAGAAGCTAAGTGGCGAAGTCATTGGGTTCTGTCACAGTGGTTTGGACACTGAATTCACATTGAACGTATGCACTGTGGCATGCCACTGTTTTTGTAGAGAAATATTTTTATCACTGAATAGTCGTTCGACTATGTTTGCTTCTCTGACTTTACATTTGTAAGGTTGTCGAATCGCATAAGCACCTGGTAATTTGTTCCCATCCTCAATAGCTGTGCATTCTGTGCATAGCATGAATGTCAGCTGTTGTCAGAGATATCAGAGATCAAAGCTTCTAAGGTGAGGGACATCCTATTTGGGTCGACACTCGGAAGCTCGCCACGTGCTCGTGCAATGTGCTGTGGTGGAAATGCAGCTGGCTAAGCCTTCGGAGAGTTTTCTGCAGCGTAGCTATGTGTAGGCTATGTGTAGCTCCCTAAGAATTCTTCCTTTTGAAACAGGCGCTGCAAACCTGAGGTACCTATGATTCCGAGCCTTGCGATGCGAATGATCCATAGCTCAAATGGTCTGTTTGGCTTGTTGTGTATATATATATATATTTCTATTTGAGCTCTTTCTTGTCCAATCATTTGGCATTTACACCATGACACCATGATTTGAGATTGCAGGCTTTCATTGTATTTGGCCGTGCATTGTCTTGAACTTTGAGTACTGTGCTTCAGGACACTTACTACACGCTAGGCCCCTCTGAGCTTGCTAAAGATCTGCTGCGAGACTGGTCACCGCCTCTTCAGAAACACACCTCAAACGCTCCTTGGCAAAAATCACCCGGAGCTTCCGGAAGCAGCTTTGAAAAAGGTGGCCGTTCAACAGCCTGAAAAGGCTTTGCTGATGCCACATCCCAGCAATATGTGGTGTGGTCAGGTCTGCTATCTTTGCAGTATCTACCATTCTTCCACATTCGCGAAAAATACAAACAGGTGTCAGTTCAGAATTCCAGTGGAAACCGATAAACATGTAAGACTCTGTAAGACTGTAAGACCAACACCATTTGACAAATAGTCCTTGAAGCGTTTGGCAAACTTCACAAAGCTTGAGGCCTCCGGCATCTTCTCCCGCGTGGCTCTGGTCGTGCTTTTGGCGCTGGCAATCCGTGCTGTGGTGCGGCAATCATGGGCCCCTGGGCAGAGAGAGAGAGAGAGAGAGAGCGAGAGACGGGGGGCGATGTTTCGTATTGTCTCGTATTGTTTCGTGTTTCGTTGTGCCCAGTTGTGCCTGAGACCCGTGTTATGTCGTGTTGGAGCTTGGTTTCTTGCGAGGCCACACGCAATGCCACACGCAATGCCACGGACTACGAACAAATGACAGAGGATTCAGCAACCTGAAAGAGACAGCGTCTTGCACCGTCTTGCGCCGCAGCATCTTCCAAGATCGGTCTGTGGCCTTTTTGCCTCAGAAACATTTTGAGTTTCTGTCCAATGCCAATTGCGAATATCGCTGTTGGCAGACTTGGTCCCAATTGCTTCAAAAAGACTTGGAGTTTGGAGCTAGTATGGTGCATGATGCTACCATGTTTCAGCGTGTTTTTCTGTCTTTCAAAGCAAGAATGCTGAATTGAACCGACTCCTCCGATCAGGCCTCTGGCTCTTCAAAAGCAAAATGCAGTTCGTTGCAATTCATGGTATCCAGACTTCATCAGCATAAACTGCCAATTTGCATCGAGCACACTGGTAAGAGGATGGACTCAGTAGTGTAAACAGACCGAAAGCCAAACAGCTATTGCACTGGTACGAAGCCTAGCAGTCTAGCATTAAAATGACTTCTAGAAATAATGATAATAGTGGGACCCATCCCTGCATTCGCCTGAACGAGTGTTCGACGCATTAACCCACACTAGCGTTGTCCTCGATGGTTTTACAAACCGACTTGCACTCTGCCAGGCCAGAGTCACCGACAGAGATGTTAGTTGAATCAAAAGGCGGTCACTTCTCCACCTTCAAACCTGACACACGCTTGACACTAGAGCTGTTGTCAGGGATAAGGACAGTGCTTGAAATGAAGGACGCCTTCATTTGACTCAGACACTTCTATTCAGATACACACATATAATATATATATATATATCTACACATTATATATATGATAATATATATATATGATAAAGAGTATACGCATAGATATCGTTTGTTTTACATCGTCCAGGGATGGAGGCACGGCAACACCATGTGCCTCGGTGAGATCACCACGAGATACTGTGGCACGAGGCATCGAATGGAGAAGAACTAACAAGAACCAACAAAATTTGCAAATATTTTGCATGTTAACTGATTATTATTATTATATAAATTATTATGCAATATATATATATATATATTTGCTTCTTTTTTTTCAAACAACTCGAAATAACTCGAAGCATCGTATTACGTTTGGGATTTGTGAACAGTCAGACAGCAGCAGGATTGCATAAATTGGCTTTCACAGCCTCACCTGCACAAAGATGATTTTACCTACATGCTGGATGGCTGGATGAATCCATGCAATTTCTTGCTGTCATTGCCATATCAACTACCTGATACAGCTGGTGTGGGGCAAGCCAAGGCCAGACGCGTGGTAGAGTACCATCAGAATCACATTGCTGCAAAAGGCTCAGGCAAAAGTGTGCAGTAAAAAATCGAATGAGACATGCCGCTGGCAAGTGAAAGCAAGGAGAGCAAGACATGCCGCTGGATCCATCACCATGGACCTTGTGGCCTCAATGGATGTTTACATTGGCTTCAGATTGGCTTCACTTTTTTCATGTAGACAACTTAGGTTGAACATGGTTGAACTACACTTTTGCAAATCCATAGTCATGTGTTCTCCTCACAAGATTTGTGACTGGTGTGTCCACATCATACCATGCATTTGAGTTTTTCAAACAGATGACGTGCTCCTGACGCTTGTGGCAGAATTTTCCCAGGTTCTGATTTTCTCGCATTTTTTTCTCCGTCCTAGGACCATCTCATCCGCTGTGAAAGGGGTGAAGGCACAGCTGCAGAGACTAAAAATCGTGATTGACATGCCTCGTCTGCCTAGTCTTTGAATTTGATCTCGGAAGCGCAGCCACATATCTGGGGGAGACTTTGACATCTGCAGGAGTGAAATCTTTGCAGTGAACTGTGTGCCTTCCAGCTATGTGCAGGCAATGACAGGCCTTTCCGGCATACCTTGTCAACCAGCCACTCGACATGTTGAAGTTTTCTTCACAGAAAGTCAAGAGATCCTTGACCTTTATCATGTTCCCACATGATGGTCAACAGTCTAAGGTACAAAGTATGATTTTTGTGACCTTCGCAAGATATTTCCTTAGCGGTTTGCAGTTGACATCAGGGTATAGCAGCAGTATAGCATGTGCAGTTCAGTATGTTGCAGCATGTTAGAGTTACTCACAGCACATTTCTAATCGATTCATATCGATTCTACTTGCGTGTTTCCTGATATTTCCTGATACTCTTGCCGACTCTTGCCCTTTCCCAAGGTGTGGATCCACCACGGAGACGCCTGGACAAAAACCAGGAGACGCAGCGGGACCTGGTGGAAGTGGCGAGACAACCTGACGCCTGACGGGTGACGATGGGTACGGATCAAGTCACTGAAGTCATTCCGGTATCAAGTGACCCACAGAAAGTCAGTCGAGATATTTTGAGTATGAAGAATTCTGAAGCCATCCATGAGGGGTCGATGGTGGTTAATTTTGACCATTTTTGACAATTTTTGACCCATAGAAGTGATGAAAAGTGATGGTCGAAGTGATGAAAGGTCACGAAAACCGAACTCGAGGACTTCTTGGTGGAGACCCATGTTCCGCCACGGCCGGGACCACTGAGCGTGAAACCGCGCATGGTGAAGCCCTTGCTGCGACTACGACGACCAGGTGTCCCAGATGTCCCAGCAGTTTGCTGTTGTAGTTCTGGTGTTTTTCAATCCATTTGGAATCCATTTGGAACATTTTCAAACTGAATATCACTTCTGGGCAATGTAGACAATGTAGAGGTCTTGTAGGAAGTCAGGCCTCAGGGATCCTCAGGGTATAAGGGTAGATGGTATAAGTGTGGTACAAGTATGGTACGAATATGAACACCACTTTCTTGCCTTCTACCTTCTGTAATTAGACATATTAGACTCACTGACGTTGGCGGTGGAGAGGTGGAGCAGGATTTAGGCCGCTTCGGCTGTTCTGATTTTCGTCCAGGTGGATTGGGAAGCTCCGAGAGATCTGCGATAGGCGGGAGTATGTTGTACTACTGCACTATGCATGTTTTTTTCAGTATACCCCGTTTTGGACGTCTCATTTTTAGACGCGAATCATTTCTACATGGGAGAAATTATTGACCGCTCAACAAATCTGTCCATTGCGATGAGCTTTGCTCTAGGTCCGGCGACGGCGCGGAAGGTGCTGGTCTCTCCGCGGCTGCCACCATTGGTGTACGAAGGCGCCAAACAGCATCAGATAGCAACGAAAGACGAAGGAATCTGAGGATGTAGATGGATGTAGTAGGAACATGTAGGAACTGTAGCAGTAACTCTGTGGCAAGTGTTATTTGTTTTCCGAGTTGCTGTGGACTTCAGAGTGGTGTGGAGTTGCAATTCCAGGCATCGACCGTTCCTTAGCTGGAAAGCGACTGCCGGCAGCCTGGTTCGCTGACCCTCCCGGCCCAAAGTTGCTGGGACTCGAAAGGCGTGGCATGTGCTGTGCGGTTGATGCCGTTGCTGTCCAAAGTTTGGGATCCATGTTGCCAAGCTATGCCAAGCTTAGCTACGTCCTTTCCATCTTAATCATCTTACATTCTTGTCTTTAACTTGTCTCTAACTTGTCTAACTTGACCATTTTTCTCTATCTTCTCATCCTTCAAACCCATAGAACCTATATACAGCCTATACCTGTGGTATTTCTTCCCAAATCCTCTCCGATTCGCCGATGCTTGCAGCGGCAGAAGCAAAGTTGTGAAGCTTTTGTCCTACTGCGGTTTTGTTTCAGCTGTGGTTGGGGTGCAGGTCAGAAAGCATCCAGGAGCGCAGCACAGACAGACTCCTTGGAAAATAACACACAGTAACACAGGTTGATTCCGTTGAGATAAGATATGACAAGATAGGAAAAGAATGTCAGTGCTGAAGTGTGTAGCATCAGGGCCAAAGGATGCCAAAGGATGCCACAGGATAAAGGTTCATCAAGGATGCTCCTTCATCAAGGGTTTTCGTGGTTGTCACCCGCAAGAGCCAGGAGCCTTCGGCAGACGAGGCACAACTCCGCATGTCAACTTGGAGGTATCAGAACCTTTACGACGCATCTATCATCTTCATATATCTTTATGTGCATACTGTTTTTTTCTGACCGCTAAATGCATCCATCCGAAGTGGAAACTCTGATCTTGTGATATCTTGTGATGTTGCATGATGTTGCATTGTGTGCATCAAGGCTAGGACCTGTATGGACCTGTCTGGACCTGCCGCTGGTTTCCTACTGTTTCGTACTGTTTCTTCTCGTGAGCCAGGCCTACAGAGAAGAGGAAGAGGAGCCAAGCGCCTCCCAGGCAGGTTTCAGGGTCCTGAATCATCTGAATCTATCTGAATTTGCTGTACATGACTTCCATGTTGACACGATTTCTATCTGTTTCTATGATTTGTTGTTCATTCAGAGATGTGATTCTGTAGTTCGAAATGGAGGCAGAGCAGACTCAGAAAGCTAAAGTTTCGGTGGACGCGGTCCCTGACGAGAAGCGGGAGGCTGCTTGGCTGCCCACATGTGCTGCCTGAAAACAGAAGTTGTTGGGGCAAGACAACCAAGATCTAAAGTCTGATAAAGTGCTTTTGGGAAATGCACCATGCCATGCAAAGATGCAAGGAGTCGCATGAGCAACTCACGAGTATTCCAGCTGCAGAGTGTGAAAGCTTTGTCCAGGAGGCTTTCGATCCTCCTTTGCGGGCCAAAGGCACGATGACCAGCTGTATCCAGACGTCACCGCATCATGTCATCCCGATTGATCTCTTCAGCATGCGGAATCAGAAAGGGGTTGTTGGATGTGTCCAATGTGTCCATCGGCAAGGCTTGTACCACTTCCCGGACTTCCGGACCGAATGGCGAGCATGTGAAGTGCGCTTGAAGCGGCGGGTTCCACATGCTGAAGCCTTCGTAGCCTTCGTAGCATCTCCCCAAGGCTTTATGTATACGCACCAATGAAAGATACCAGATGATACCAGATGGTGCATAATGAACCTTTCATTCTATCAGGATCTGAGTTCTTACACATTGCGATTGTGTGAAGGGATAAGCAAGACCTTCAAAATCGGGTTGCGATTGTCCTGACAATTTGAGTGAGGTACTTGCTTACAATCCTACGGAAGAACAGTTCCTCGGCCAGACCCAAAACAGCTTTTGTCCACGTTTGACTGACTTCCATGATGTCAGATTGCCACTGGACAGGCACTGGATGTTTGATGCTTGGCAAAAGCGAGATTGCATTTGCCAAGGTTTTTGATACAATGGCTGGCAACTGGCCGGCAGAAGAGGATCACCAGTTTGCAGCTGCGTTTCGACTCTGAGACAGAGGCTGGCAATACTTTGGATAGTTCGAGAGTTTTCCATTTGTTTCTTGATCATTTGACAAACCCAACAATCTATAACAATCTAAGGGAGATGACATTTCAGTCGATTCGTGCGAAGGCGAAGGTGTTGAAGGTGTTGCCAGATTACAGTTGAGATCTGTTGAAAGTGACCGGAAAAAATAGACAGAAATCATATAAATCATATGAAATCATATGAAATCATCAGAAATTGCTACGTTGAAATCTCTCCAATCGACAGATGCGTTTCTACGGGCGTTTAACGCCGGGCCAGGCGGATGCGTTGCGGCGTCAAACGGATGCCGAGTTGCGGCGAGACACGGTGGAGGCGATGCTGTTGGAAGAGATCGTCATCGAAGAGCCGCTCAGCTGAGCTCAGCTGAAGCAGCTGAAGCTGGTTGCCTAAGCTGTGCTGGTTGCTGGTTGGAAAATCTGGAAAACACGTGAAGAATTTAAGAATGTTGAAAAACATGTTGAAGAATGATTGAAGAATGGTGTTAAGATTTCTATAAGATTTCTATAATTGCAATGATTGCAATAATACTTTCAACCTGCTGCTTGATTTTGCTGCTTTTGAACGTTTTAGGCTTGTATACCCTCCCATTGAGCAGTATTGAACCCCATTCTTGTATCTTCAACCTGCCAACTCTGGGCGAGATCTGGAAAAGCCGAGCCAACAAAGCGCCACAGCCTTGCCTCAAAGTTTCTGTGGCGCAGGATTCCCGGTAAGCGGAATCCTTCACACCACGCACACAGTTCTTTGAGGACCATTCCCTTAGTACACCCCAAATTTGCAACCCTTAATGTGACGTGTTTTGACTGCACACTTTCTTGACTTTCGTAGCAGTAATGATTTGTACCTTCTTCATGTTGGTCTTGTAACAAGTCCGAGCTACAACAGATATACATAGTTAATCAATGTTAATCATAGTTACATATCCATACATATCCATAATATGCTAATCCATAATATAATATTATATATTAGCTATACTGGCTATATTATTTATTTTCGATTCATTTTTCTAGACTATAAATGGTACATTTTTCATCGGTGCCCGAGGCTCAGCCGATGGCAGCTGGGCAGCGAGGCCTCGGCGGTGAATGGAGGCAGCGGTGCTTCGGTGAAGCGCCCGGGGCCCAGAACGATCGTGACGAGATCCTTTTTCGAACGGCCTCGTGTTGACAGGTTTTTGGTGACAGAAATCGGGATGGTGGGACATGGTGGGACAATGGGACGCTTTGGAACGTGTTGAGAACTTGTTGGAACTGGTTTTTGGAACCGCTTTTGGACATTTGTTGAGAGGAAGTGGACACTGCTCCAAAACTTTTGGTTTGGCATGCCTTGGAATCCTTGGACTTGCAGTTGACAAATGTTGACAAGATATTCTCAGATTTTGCAGAGATGTTGCAAGCCTTCAAGTTGTTTGTGCGATGCGTTTGGTAGCAAGATATGTCAGGGGGCTTCCTCTTGCAAGAGGATCCCATGGCTTTGGGGGGCCGTGTAGTGTCTTGACACTGGAGCATGGTGACAATGCTCCTTAAACTCAAGTTGCATGTGCCGTTGCATTCACAGCTGCAGTTGCAGTCAAAGGGTTGGTTTTCAAAGTCATCTCAAACAGGTCATGTGGCAGCCAGGAGCCACACCAACACAAAGGCAGATGCAAAGACTATGGATAGGCCATCGCTGCCACCATGAACCACAAACATTTTTGCAAAACACAACTGTCAGGGGATGATGACTGACGCTCCAAGAGGGCTGAATCCAAGACTCATCAGCAGGAAAGGTCATGAAAGATCAAATCTCCGAATCTTTTTACATGTGATAAATAAATAAAAATCACGTCCTTGTGCGTTCTTGGCCTCGCACCGCCATGGCCACAGCAGTGCTGCAACCCTCCGATGTCGGCGATGTCGGCCTGGAAGGTCCGGAGGAGGTCGAGCATGTCGAGCATGTCGAGCAGGAACGGGTCCTGGGTGCGTCGACTGCAGATCAGGTCCTGGAAAGATGGCACGGTTTCATGGCCGAAACTTCCAAGCTGTTGAAGTCGTTGGAACCTCCGGCGTGGCGATATCGTTTGCCGTTGTCAAGGCTCACAGTGACCACTCCTACTACATCACAGGTGCTGAAATTGACAAAACTATGAGTTGAACCAAACTAGAAACCAGAAACCAAACATTTTGCCTTCGCCAATCAAACTGTTCAAACTGTTCAAACTGTTCTTCATGTCTCATCTCTTCGCAGAAGATTTCAAAGCCTGTTTCCTGAGGTGGATTGGAGCAACCAACTGGGCTTATCTTTCAGCCCAACAGGTCGTGTAGTCTACTCCTTGAGTGCCTCAGTGGAACAAGCGCGCAGCTGCTTAGCGCAGGCCCCGCAGATTTACGACGCCTTGGGCGTTTTCGGTGAAGCCTTGGGTCCAGAGATGCCGGAGGAGGATTCCCTACAGACGCCCTCGTCCTTGCTGATTGAACTGGCGGAGTTGATTCTTGATATTCTGATTGTGCAGATTGATGATTTTGATATATTTTGATACCATTTTGGGCTTCTTTTTGTGGGTCATGTAATAATATAAAAATTAAACAGTGATGATGGTGAAAATAGATGAACACATATACAGACTATACAGTAGTGATAGTGGCAATATGATCAACATGTGGCAATGTAAACATTAACAACGGGAACAACGGGTCGGTCACAAGAACTGGATGCCTGCAGATGGATCCTTCGCTGAGGATCCCCACTCTGAGCAAAGCTCGTCAGCTGCTGCGACGGGCTGATGCAGTGGCTGGGAACATTCTGATGCAACTGGCAAAGACCCAGGCAATGCCGATCCCAGGTGGGAAGAAACCGGAAACAAGATGAAACAAGCTACAAGAAAGCTGCATATTATGCTAATATGGCTACATGAATGGCTATATCTTTTTGATTATTGTTGATTAATCGTTAAATCACTTGTGAATTCAGTGAAGTTTGGCACTTTTTGCACATTTTTAAACAAATCCTTTATTTTTTTCCTTGACTTCTGCCGTAGGTTTAGCGAAGCAACCGCTGCGTTTGGTGCTGGACGTGCTGGGAGAGCTGCTGTCGATTTCCGTGAAATGTGATGGCCTCGTCCTGGAGAATTCGCGGCTACGGCGCGCCTACACATCCTTCAAGTGGATCGCCACTCGGCACGGAATGACCGAGTTTTGCGATGGGCTGTTGGATTTGGAGATTGGGTAGAAAAGTATAGAAAAGTTGGGATATGTCTTGAAATATGATGATTATGATGCAACATGCCAGATATGTCGATTTCGATAAATCCCTCCATTCCCAAAGGCCTTCCTTCAGCTCTCAGGTAGAGAAGGCCTCTACCTCGAACGCCGGCAGCGGCGGGCAGCTCCCGGAGCTGGGGGAAAATGGCACGGCGCTGCTGCGAGAACTGCAGGAAGCCACACCGCTGTTGCCTGGGCGATGCGCTGTGAGAGCAGAAACTTTAGGGACTAACAGAGTGACTAACAGAGTGACTAACATGGGATGGAGGACGATGGATGGTTTATTCATGTTTATTCTGAATTACTATGGTTCAAAATGCGATAGAATGTGGCTACCCCATTGGCGTTCAATTCAAACACCCACATTCACACCACATCATCCACATTCATCCACCAACTTGGATCACTTTGGCAATTTGACTTGGGAAACCATTGATCTTGACTTCTCTCAGGGCAATTGTCGGAAGCACCTCCTTTCCAGCAATGGAACAGCAAGAGCGCACGAGTCAATCATGAGTCGTGCATGACGGCCATGTCATCATGTCAGCATTTGAGGCTCCGCGGGGATGCCTTTCAGGGCTGCCTGGCAAATGTTTCTGCTTCGTTGGCGTCGTTGAAGAATGAACTCGGAACCGCTGGCATCAGTGCCTTCCGAGAGCATTTGATCACCTACTTCCGTGGCCGCATGGAAGAGTCAGAGATCAGGGGTCAGGTGACACAGTGACAGTGATGCAAATGGCAACAAATGCAGATGTTCTTACGATGCTCTTGTTATATCATGTCGTACCATGTTGCATCTTGTTGTGTCTAATGTGATCCTTCAACTTTTCGAAGACATTGGAAGACTTGGTATTGAACTGGTATTGTTTGTGCTCGGGACAGGTCGCCATATCTCAGCTCTGGCTGCCGGGCGAGTCTTTGCTCTGCTGGATTTGTTGTTTCGTGTGTTCCGTGCGCAGCTTCGGTCGTGGCCGCGAGGAGGCCAAACTCATGCAGGACTGAGCTGGAACATCCTGGAACACGATTTCCATGGGCATCCCAATACATACAGAAAAATCATGAAACAATGAAATCGTTTACTAAACTTTACCGCTTTCAAAGTTGCCCAGCAAAAGGATCCATTTATCAGATCATTCTTCATTCATTCATCATTTATCGGCACTGGTGACTAGTGACACTAGTGAAAACTGCAGGAGCTTTGGAAGATGCACAAGAAAGCTCCTGTGGTGGTTCTGTTCGGCCGCGTCGTTTGGTGCATCGGCGACTTTTTCAAATCCTATCTTCCAGAGGCCATGAGTCCCGAGACAAAGGGTTCAGGTTTAATACGGATTACGCCTTAATGATTAAGCATTTAAAACATTTTAAAACTATTAAAAAAAGAAAAATGAATCTGAAGCATCTGAAGCTTGATTTGCATTGAAGCACTGCGCTGCCATGACATGTCGCAATGATGTCGCAATCAGCGACTAGTCAGCGACTAATCAGCGACTAATCATGTCCAGCTCGGTTGCCGAGATCCGAGACATGTTGCGGTGTCCAGGTCATCGCAGATGCCAAGCTTTCGAGGGACCTGGATGAGTTGCGCCAGCTGCGGCTGAGCCAAGCGAAGCAGTTGGATGAGAAGGGCTTCGCTCAGGAGATCTGCGGTTACCAAAAGCGAGCTGCAGCCTGGATTGCCTCTTTGCCAAAACAGAATCTTGGACTTTGGAGTCAAACAGATAGACAGATTTAGACGATGATTTAGACGATGATTTAGACTATGAATGATAGACTTAATCTTGGTCAAACAGAGTCAAACAGAGTCAAACAGAGTCAAGTAAAGACGAGCCGTGGCCATTCCTATTGGTGGAGCCTTATCGTGCCATGTCACGGCTTGCTTCAAGAACTTGCCAAGAATCATCAATCCTCCAATCTATCCCTTTGCAATCTGGACAGGGAAACGCAGGAAAACTAATATGAATTATATATAACATTGTATAACATTATAATTATATAATTATATAATATGATTTCATATGAATTAATCATAATTAGTCCACATTTTCTTCAAACCAAATCCCTTTGTCGGATTGGATTTCCGCGAGGAAGTTGGAAGGCGTTGCCGTCAGCGATGCTTTGGCCTCTGCATACAGTGTCATCTTTGAAGGTCTGACCTTGGCACTACGCATCAGGACCAATTTATCGTCAGCACTGCTACATAGCACTGGGTTTCGTAGTGTTTTCGTCCATTCCTCTTGGCAACTCTAGCTTTCCATTCAGTTTGAAGTTGCATGCTGTCAAAGTCAAAAGTGGTTAGATGATGTTAGATGTAGGGTGAGTGCCGAAGTGATCGAAGTTGCAATTCAAATCCCAAATCCGTCTCTATCTGTCTCTATCTGTCTCTATCTGTCTCTGTCTTTCCTTTCAGGATGTCGTTGGAGGAGTACTTGGTGCTTCACGTTCGCGAAGGTGTCGCTGTGCCGCGCAGCTCCTTGAGTGCCGTGGCCCTGGGATTTCAGCTGCTGAAGATCATCGAAGCAGCGCCGACGCTGCGGCTCCAAGAGCTGGGAGATTTTCTGCAGCGACATAGCGCACTGAGACTGCAGAAGGCCTGACTGTCGAAACATGTCGAAACTGCAATATATCCTTAATATATCCTAATATTCACTAATTAATCCATATTAAATGTTATTAAATGTTATTAAATGTTATTATATTCATCTCCATAATCAATGCGTTAATCCGTCTCAAGGAATGGCCTGTTGCTCTGTCGTTGCGACGTGGTTTTTTCAGGAGCTGCAGGAGGTCCGATCCAAGTTGAAGCGCGGTGCCAGCGAGGCGCCGGGTGAAGCCTTACGGCTTTGCGCCTGTGCTCTGCAACGAATCCTCAAAAGTTCCAAGGAAATGGACTGTTACTTTGATGTCACCTGGCACTTCTAGGAAGTTCTCATGTTTCTATATATAAATTTATGTTAGCCGACGTTAATAGATGTTAATTCATGTCAATTGATATTAATTGACATTCATTGATATCATATGTTGCTATGCACCACTCAGGACTCAGCACATTTCATCATCATTTTGAAGCGTTGTTATCATGACATAAGGAATCTGTTTACTAGCAGAACTATGCTTCTGTTCAAGTTTCAGAATTGCTATAGACCCTCGATGGAGCATTGAGATTCGATGAACAGCTTATATGGATCTTGAAAGCACAATTTCTATCAATTTCTCACTCCGGAATGACTTGATGTGACTTGATGTGACTTGATGTGATTTGTGCAGTTCTCATGTGAGGTCGGTGGCATTGCCTTGGCGTTGTGTTGCTCTGGACGCTCAGAGCCTGCCAACTCGGGAGTGCTCGGCCGCTGGAGGGAGCTGCAAATCATTTGTCATTGGCAAGACCAGTTGTCGAGGCCAGGCCCCAGGCCACAGATGGCCACAGGCGATGCCAGGCCAACTTTTAAAGAAGTGGAAGATACGGTAAGATACGGAACGTGCAGTGAATACTTTGAGTTGCGGTATGATGGGCGCAAGATGTCAGCAATGATTTTATCATATTTAAATCTACTACTTGCTACATGGTTTATGGATGTTTATGTTCCGTTCGAAGTTGATTGAATTGTGAATTTAAAAGCATTGGAGGTTATGCGATACAACTTGGTGCTACTGGCTTCGGGACTTGCTTCCCACCTTGCTGTCGGACATGCAACGTGTGCAATCCTTACCGCCCTTGTTTTCAGCCTTTGCTCAGCCATTGCAGCGCTTGCCCATGGGAAGAGCAAGACAAGAATTTCTGAAAGAACTGCGACTGGCACTGGAGGATGGCATCATCCAACCGATTTGTGCAAAGCTGGAAGAAGATTTACGACTTTTAGTCCATGCCACCATGCAGGGGACCAGACAAGCTCTGCCACTGTCACCACCAGAAGATGCCTTGGCGTTTCTTCGCTTGCGGCCTTTGAGGCTCACAGAGTCGGATGTGGTTGACATCAAGGATCAGGCGAGGTGCGTTCACACAGTTCACGGCGTTCACGCCGCATGAATCTCAGGGGTCTGCAGTCCTACGCAGCCCCAATGAAGATCAACGAAGTGTGTTGCAGATAAAGTGTGTAGTTTGCAGCTGGGATTTATCCAGATTTATCCAGATATTCAAAAGATTTCAAGATGACACTCCTGAAATCTCCTCAACCTCCAAGCTTTCGAAGCTCGTGTTGAACCGGATGGAACCTGGTGCCCCATGGTGAGGTGGAGCTGCGCTTGAGTCGACACTTCTATGACTTGGCCGCGCTAGCACCACAGGATGCTGAAGCCTACGTTCGGATGCGAGAACAGGCACTGAGTTTCAGTGAGCTTTATAATGCTTATATCAGTTATATAATGTTATATATATATATGTATCATATTATATAATAATGCTCTTATAATGCTTTATATGTGTTGAGCTGTGGAGCCCCCATTGGAACTGCATACAGCACAAGATTGTTCTTGAGTCCCACGAATCCGGAACCAATCGTATTCCAAACAGTTCTGAGTCATGTGAGTTTGGCCCCCGGTCAGTGAAGCTCCCAAAATCATATAAATGCAACATAATGCAACTAAACGTAGACAAGTTGTAGATTTGTTGTCAAAATATGTGAGAAGTAAAAGTCTGTGAACGTTCTGAAAGTCTTCCCAGTTTTCCTGGCGTTGTTGCAGCGTTGTTGCAGGCTTCTCATCGTTACGGACTGAACCTCGTGCATGGAGGTCTTCCAGCGGGATCCTTGGCACAGGGCTTGGATGTCATCGACGTGATGCGTAACGTGCACCTGCTGGCCACACAGTGCCTGGGAGAAATCCAGAGAAATCCGAAAACAAACCTTGCTTTGAAACACCCTTTGCTTCGCCACAACTGGTCGCAAACCTGAAAAAAACTGAAAGTCTTCAGAATTCTTCTTGGACTCGAAACTTTTCATGTCGGTGATTACATTTACATGCTCTTACTCAGTCTTACTCTATGTCAATGATGTCAATGATGTCAATGATGTCAATGTCTTGTGAGGTACTGCTACAGCCTTCACCAGCAGTTCTTTACCCAGGCTGCACACGGCGATGCCAAAATTCGTACCATTACCGTGGAGCACCTCACAGCATCCATTCGGGTCCACGGCTACGGTGTCATTAACACTGCAGTCAACTACAGCGTGGGTTTCCTGAAGAAGAAGTTGGAGGTGCCCAAACCAGTGCCCAAACCACATTCCAACATATGCCAAAGCATGAGATAACAGCTATGTGGGAGTTTCAGGTGAAGAGATGTGATGTATGTTGTTCCCCAAAGCGCAAACTGCCAAATCGTGTCTCATAATGTGAGATTAAAACAAACGAAAGCTTTGCCATATTTATCATATTTACACATTCTGACTCAATCTGACTATTTACAACTCATCGAATCATCACCGCACGGATTGTTTTTGAGCCCTGGCAGGTCGTGGCCGAATTCCTTGCAGATGAGTCCGTGAAGTCTCGGTTGCTGGCAGAGCAGCAATGGATGGAGGGTCGCCCAGCCTACACGTGGGCGCGGGCAGTCGAGACAGCTCGCTTCGTCCGACGTCTTGGTGCAGGCTGTGGATGTCGGACATTGCGGATGTCGTTGAATCTGTTGGAAGTTGATGGATGCCCATGTTGCCCGCGTTGCCCGCGTTCTTGTGATGTTCGGCCACTTCTGGTGGTTTATGTATGTTATGATATGTTATGATGTTATGTTATGTCGTGTTTGGTGCATAAGACCTGTTAGGCAGAGATGGCGTTACGTTCTTGGACAAGTTGCGGCAGGTTCTGACGCAGATCGGAAACAGCTTGGGTTATGTGCGGATGGTGAGGACTGCTGGCATGCGAAGCATGGCTGACGGCCTGGAATATTTGGAGGCCCCGGTTTGAACGGTGCGTCGGTGTTTGCAAGACAGGAATGGTTTGATTTGAATTGTGCCTGTGTAAAGTGTAATCATTGCCAGACTGCAGACTGCGATCAAATTCCGATCACAGCTCCGTTGCTCCTCAGGGCACGCCGTGGCTGGGCGCGGCAGAGGCCGCGGAGGATTTGGTCCAGGCCGCTGAGGCCGGCGGCAGCACTGCCTCGGTGCAGGCCGCGCGCCTGGCCGAACTCGGCGCACGTAGCGTGCGGCGCTGCTTCGAGGCGAGAACTGCACGAGATCATCGTTTCGGAATATGATTTGATGGAAAAAACATTAAAAAACCTATAATATCGTATATATATACAATATAAATATATATATATACATATACATATATAGATACAATATATATATATAATATAAATGATGTAGTATCATAGAATGGGATCATTCTAGGGATCGGATCAATCGGATCCTCCAGCTCTTTGCTGCTTTAAGATGTTTTTAAGGAGGCTTCATGCTTTTCTTTCCGGCATTTTAAAGGTGAATGGTTGAAGGTGTTTGTGTCGGAATGTTTTGGATGAGTGAAATGGTTGTTGAAGATTTCATTCATGGCGGGTGATGCTTCTATGAGATGGAGCATTCTGTATCAAGCGGTTTTCTCCAATTGAGTTCATTTTGCAACCACAGGCGTGAACTGAATCATTTTTTGTAGCTGTATCCACTAGGAACAAGGCAAGCTGATAAAGTGTAGATAATGCTGCGTGCATGTGAGTGCATGTGTTGCTGGGGAATGCAAGTATATGCAAGACGTATAGCCACGGCGTGCCATGTTGACCCCTTTTGAGGCCAGCACGGACCACTTGAATCTCTTGGCGGATGTCTTTGTGAAAGCGTTGTCAAGGACCAATGTAGGAGTTGGCAGTGCTCATTCCACCCAACTCTTTCACCTTTTGTTACCTTCGTTGTGCTGTGCCTTTTTGGATTCTTTGTTATTGGGTCGCGACTGCCTCGCCAAGCGAGCGGTAGCGAACACCGGCGTCAAGGGCGATGCTGTGCTGCAAGACGACGGCTTCGCGGTGGGTGTGGCCTTTGTGCTGCGCGTCTTCGGACTGAACCGCGACTTCCAATCGTTGCATTGGTTCCAGACCGAGATCAACGACATTGATATGACCACTGGACAAGCTCGGGCTGCAGCAGGCTTACCCTTCTTCACTGACTCCAATCAGATTCTTGGAAGCATTCAGAAACATTCAGAAACATCTGAAAACATTCCATAAAATTTTGATTGGAGCTTTTGGGTCTGTGCCTTTACAGCCCGTTCCTCTTCAGAACAAGCTGCTCGGGCTGCTCGGGCTGTTCGGCCTTGTTTTTTCCCTGTTTCGAGGTCGAAGACCGAAGCTGATCGTCGTGGAAAACTCCTGGCCGAGTTGGCGCAATTAGCTGCGTCTCTGGAGGCAGCAGGTGCCCTCTTCGGCAGCACAGCACGTGTGCCCGTGCAACCCGTGCCTGCAGAGCCAATGAGCTCCGAGGCGGAAGCACAGGAGCATCAGGAACCGCAGGAAGAGTAGGAAAGCCTTCGAAAGCCTTCGAAAGCCTTCAGAAGCCTTCGAAAGCATCTGAAGTTTCATGAAGTTTCTGATCTGTGGCCACATTGATTTCAAAAGGATTGAAAAGGAAAGCAGAGTCGGTGGCACTTCTCTTGACAGCCCTCCGTTTGAATCCAAGCAGCCCCCAGGAATTATGGACCTTGCTCAGCTGAAACGCTACGAAGCCTCACCCCAGGCAAGGAGGATTTGTCGGTTTCGCTGTTTCACCGTTTCCTTGGAAATTTGCAGAGTCGGTAAGCACGGGAAACTGATGAATTCTGCTGTGGCTTTTCAGGAAGAATTTCTTCATTTCTCGTGGGCAATGTGAGGTGGTGCAGAGCCTCATCCGAGAAGCTGCTGAAGCCTACTGTCGATCTCAGGCGCACGGCACAGCTCAGTGGGGCCTGTGGGGGCACTGGGCACTCTGGTGGGTGCTTGTTTCGCTGGCCGCTGGCAAACCAAAACAACCAGAACAGACTTCTGGAGATGGTAGGTAAATAGAGATAAGATACAATTAGATAAGTAAATACAGATAGATCTTAGCGCGAGGGTGCAATGTGACATGATTTACAGTACATGTTTTAGTCCATGCGGATGTTCTGCCTGTTGAGATACCCAAGGCCAAGTGGTTGCTCTTATGGCGCCGTCCTGATTTGGAGGACTGCAACTGACGACAACTTCCAAGTTGTAGAAGTTGCAATGGCAGATCCTCTTCGTATCTCCCTTTCCAGGAATATCTCGGGGTGAAGCCTGTGCCAATCTCTTTGGAGCCCAGGAGAAGCGTCTCAGTGTGACAATTCAAATCTCCTCACGGCATTTCACGGCATTTCACGGCATTCTTTGGGTATTCAGAAGGGGTTCTGTGTGTTTGTGCTGAGTTTTGGAACCTGGCCAGGAATGATGACTTGGAAAGTGTGGGACCTATTAAGGGACCTATAAAAACTATATTTAACTATTGTTGATTTGGTTGGAGAATGTTGGGAGGACACAGCAGTTGCGGTTGCCTACTGGTTAAGGTGAGGACCCAGCATTAAGCCTGGAAGATGTTCCAGATGAGGAGTCCGAGGTCCAGCTTTTTTTGATTTGCAGGGTCAGGGCCGGAAGGTAACTTTTCCTTGGTGGCTTTCTGGGGTTCGCATCAGTGAACATCGCATTTGACAAACAGAGGGTTTTTGCATGCTTGGGCCGGTCAAGTAAAAACAAACTGCACAAGGTGCAAGTGCGAGCAAGATCGCCTTCGTTTTCATTATGTATTCATTGTGTTTGGATTTTAATTCATATTATTACATATTATTACATATTATACATATATTTATATCGTATAATAGTATAATATTGTATATGATGACTCGATGACATATGTCATCAATAATGGATTCTCCAACTCCGGACCTTTTCTGTCCCATTTTTCCAGGACAGCGCCGGCAGCTGGTGGGAGCCTCCTCCCAAGGAGCGGCCTGAGCCTTTGATGCCGCGGCCGCGCCAAGGTGCCCGGGAGTCACTTGAGTCGACTGGAGATGGATATGAAAGGTGAGCTGAATGGAACAAACACAAAAAAAATAAAAAAAATGTTTTTTAATTGTTTTTAGTTTGTTTGTTTTGGTTTTTATATTTAGAATGCATAGCATAGCACAGCATAGAACAGCATAGCACAGCATAGTCTATGTATGTATCGATATGTGATGTTGCATATGTACGTATGAAATTTGTATAAACACATGGATGCCATTGGCGAGTTGTGAAGCTAAGAAAGGATGTGGGTACAGTCATCTTTGGCGTTCTGGCTCCTGGGACTGTTTGACCACGATCGACGTTTGCGTCACTGGAAAAATGTCCCTTGTGTGGCAGGTCTCGCCACAAAGGGCCCAGGTGGTGTGCGCATGGGATCCCAGGTCGAGGCCAAGGCTTTCCTCTCTGGACTCTCTCTGGACTCTCTATGACACTATGACTCTGGATTAAAATGATTGAATTTCTTTGAAATTTGAACCCTGGCAAGACCAAGGTGGAAATCTGCTGCCGAATCGGAAGTTCAAAAACCTGTCTTCTCCCACCATCCTACAGAAATCGCAGGAGTCACGGCCTCAGTGGTTTCCACAGCATCCCATGATTATCCAATGAAAATCCCATGAGAATCGTATGAGAATTCATGAGAATTCCAGGTTTTGTCTTCCCGAGGCTAGGACAGCTTTCATTGCTTGGTGAGAAGGAACCACAGTCCCGACTGCTTCAGGCCACCTTTGTGCAGTTTTGTGTCACATCAGCCGTCACATCAGAAACTTATACTTTAGATTTTGATCATGTTGACAGGTGTACAACCTCGTGGGCTCTTTGTATTGCGAGCACGTGGTCCCGCTTTACTTCCCCGTTCGTGGCTAGACTGCACGTACCAGGTGCCAGTGCTTCCAAGATGTGACTACACACATCCAGGTCCACGCAGAAAAAGTGCTGAGGAAAGCGCGAACCCTACTCTTTGGCAGCCTTTGCTCGGAGTTTGGTGGATGGCTTCAGCCGTTCATCTTCCTTCTATCGCATTAGTTGGCCAGCTGCTTGGTTCAAACATTTTGTGGCCTTCCACAAGACGAAGAGTGTCCTTGCTGGATCCGGTTTTCATTCAGTTTGCTGGATCTTTGTGGGTCCTTAACAAGCTTGACCTAAACACCCTCAAAGCTGCCCAGATGAATATGCGGAGCTGCCAATTTTGGTTTGTCTATGTTTGTTAATGGTAGGAATCTCAAAAATCACCAACATCATTGGTGAGTTTGGACCACCCTTTCATTGTGAACGGGCATGTTTCTACATGTTTCTACCTCGGTCAGAATCAAGGAGTCCATCACGCTCTTCTTCATGACGGAATCAGGGATCATCAAGGATTGGAATCCGCGGATGTCTGGCCTTGTGGCAAGACTCATGGAGGTTCGACGCGCTGATGAAGTGTGTTGACATGTGTTGACTTTGTTATTCATATGATTTTACATGATTTTACATGATTTTACATGTCTTTGCTACTCTTGCTGCTTCAAACATTGACCATAGCCACAAAATGTGGTCTCCCTAGAGGCGAGGTAATGTCAGAGATGGATGGGTTCCTCCAGACTTTGTAAATGACATGCCGATTTCCTGGGTTTCATCTTGCGCAGAGAATTTTTGGAGGCGGGCCTCCAGCACCTTTGCCGGAGCACCCAGTGGCACCGGATCGGTCGAAGCATGGCTTTGCGGCTTTGCCTTTGTGCCTCAACATGCCTCAACTGGAGCTAATTCGGGAGTAAAACTTCTTAGCCTTAGCACCACAGCATGAGCACATCTGGCAAGAAGGTATTCGCATCGCAATTGCAGCGTGAGGTCTGAAAAACTTGCAGCGACTGCTGGAACTTTTCGAATTTTATGCCAAGCTCACTGCAGATTGCCGTGAGGGCAGAACCCAGCTGACCTACATGTACCTTGGAGAATCCTTGGAGAATCCTTGGAGAATCCGATAGTTTCCAGATGGAGATGTGTCGATCTGTTCGGTTTTCAAATCCAAGGCCACCTCCGGTGTATCTGCGCATGGCATCGATGAACTACGAACAGCATCCCCTGTTTTACATCCAGGCGCATGACTCAGAGAAAACGATCCAGACGTTTTGACATTCTTGACCGCGCAAACGTGCAGAAATTTCGGACTTGCTCGGAGTTGCTTGTGTTGGGAGAAATGAAACATGTTGTTTTGCAAATGACATTTTGTTTGCAGCGTTCGTGTTTGTGCACATCTCTGGACGCCACTCGTGGAAGAGTTTACATGTTTACATACATCAAAGCATCATAAAACCATGATAAAAGCTCGCATCGTGAGGTGACCGTCGAGCGGCACGTCACTTGGCAGCAGGGGTGCGGTGCAGTTTTGGAGACATCGAGATCTGACGTCCGAGGCGAGTGGCGACAAAAACCCCGAAGCGACTGGAGCGAACAGTTTCATCCCATCTTTGGAGCTGGCCATCGAGTCCGCTTTCGCCTCTGCTGACACCAAGAGCCTGGACAGGGTGACAGGGTGTGATGTGAGATGATGTCAGAATATGTGTCAGGTCTCCGGCAGGATGTATTTGGTATATTTGGTTCATTTTGGTTCCAATATCTTGCAATATGTGTGAATAACATGTGAACCGTAGGATAATCCGTAGGACGATATGTTGCTGTGTTGATGTGTGCTGTTAGCTGCTAGCCGCTGAATTGTCCGAGTGGAGGATGTGATCCTACGACGGAAGAAGTTCAACGACGTTGCCGGGCAGCCTGTCCCGTCTCAGCAGAAGGAACATGAAGGAACTACTCATTTACTCGTGCTCCTGTTGCTAAAATGTGGTTTGTGAAAAGACTGGTGTTTCCATGGCATCGGCTCAGATTTGACGAGATTTGTTTCGATTTCAATCAAAAAGGTATTGAACATGACAAAAACCGCAGCATAATTTTCGATCATTGAAGCATACAATGCATGGTTGTTCCAAGAGAATTATCTTTGTCATTCTTTGTCTACATTATAGGCATTTCGTTTGTGCTTTGAAAGCTAGAGCACGGAGATCTCCACCGAGTGCCTCAAGATGTACTTCCACCAGAGCTTCGCAGAGCTTCGCCATGTTTCATATTTACTCTGTTTGTTTCATTTTTTCATTATTTTTCATTTACTTCTACTGAATTCTATATTCTACTGTTTTTCAATCTCATTTTCGTGCTTTTTCGTGCTTCAACCTTCTTGAACCTTCTTGAACCTTCTGAGGTCATGCACATGGCGCAACGTTGGAAGTTGGACACTGCGAAGATGGCCCGGGGCCCAGGTCGTTTCAGGTCGTTTCGTTCTGAACCCACTCGGTGACCTGGAATGGAGATTCCATGATACTTCATTGATCTTCATTGATCTTCATTGGATGTTGGGAAAGCATTCAATCTCAATCGACTTCGCTTTTCTTTTTCCCTACCTGTGCCATTATGTGCCATTGCCATTGCTCGTGATTGTTGTGAAGGATCTACTCCCAGATGGTGCTGCACATGGCCAGGGGTGGGTTGATGGTGGCAGATGCACACAGCACTCTCAAGAGCAACGTGGTGAGAATGGCAGCTCTCTACATAGTGAGAATAGCTGTTTGGATGTATTGGATGCATTGGAACTTGATCCGTTCTCCTCTTCTCGATATCCGATACAGAGATGCTGCAGGATTGTTTGTTGAGACATGTTGAGACCAAAATCGCAGAAACCAGCAGAGTGCGGTGTATTCTCATCTCGACTCATTTCAGATGACAGGGGGAGCTCCAACTGCGAATAACGTGGCGGCGCTGCGGAATACTGCGCATCTATCTCAGATGTGCGATACTGGGTCTGGCTATAGAAGAGGATAAAAACATACTTAAAATATGAAGGAATGCGATCAATTCTTGAAAAGTGGTGTCTTGGTGACCCAAGAGCCTTACAGGCATATGCTTTCGCAGCTGGCTTCAGGCACACTTCTCGGGGGGTCTGCATTTCAAGGGTTTCCGGCCGCTTCAGTCAGGTGTTGAAGCTCCTTTCATACAGTAGGGCAGGATGTCTTTGGAATCCTATTTGTGTCCACCATGTTTTCCACCAAAGACTTTCGCTTAACCGGGAAGGCTACAGCACAGCCATTCCCGATGAAGCACTCAGCAGTGATGACGAACGGCCCAGTGTTGGGCTCAATTGGTCAAAAATCAGCAAAGTGAACTGTGTGAACATTGTTTTGTTCGACTTTATCCATAATTATTTTGTTTTTCTTAACTTTTATTTTGGGAGTGAAACATTACTGCACTAAGATGGTCAACAACCAACTTGTGTCATCTTGATAACACATCAAAGAACAAAGTTTTCCTCGTGCGGGGGACCTAAACAAGCCTTTGCAGGAATGCTGTCGACGCTGTCCGGGCTCTGGACAAAGTGATTTGCCCACCGCCAGAGCTTCGCTGAGGTGTGGACGAGCTGTTGATGACACCACCAACCAGACGACAGGCGCAAGGGGACAAGGTCGTTTTACTGTGGGCATTGCAGGGCTGTTGCCAAAGATCCAAAGGTTACAAGTCATTTTGACAGAACATGACAGAACTGCACACCATTTCCTGAGGAATTTTAAGATAGCTCATCGAAGGAAGTTTAGAAGTCAAACTTCCGACTTATGGACAGATGCAGCAACAATGGTGCGAGCAGCCAGAGAAGAGACAGAGTCAGAAGAGAAATAGTCAGAAGAAAGCAGATGCAGATGGCCGAAAAGGTAGAAAAGTCGCGAAACAGTGTGTTTTACCAATGTTTTGTGGCTCCGGAGGTTCGAAAAGTAGGCTCGCTCAAGCGCCGAGTTCGGAGCCATTTGGTCAGATGAGAGATGGAAAGTTGCACGCCGTTGTGGCGCGAAGTACATTTCCAAGTCAAAATGCACAAAATACCTCAGGTTCGGACCGCTTTTGGGAAGAGAGGGTCTGCAAAGACGCATTTCACGTGGCAGGCGCAGTACAAGAGACACATGAGTCAGAGATGTTAGGAGGTCAGGGCGCTGACTTCCTGAGACGAGTTGCATTTTGGAGCATCAGATCTTCAAGTTCGCGAAGATGATGTTGCGTGACAGGTGCAGCACTTCGTATGACCTGGCATCACTTTTTCGTGGCAGGCGCAATGCTTTAGACAGATGGAGTGGACAAATTGGAAAACGTGTTGGTACAGGGCCATCAGCTCTGCACTCAACTTTCCATTTTTGAAGAAAGCCTTGCAGAATTTCGTCGTTTTGGAGCTGTGACCTTCCATTTTTGAGGAAGCCTCGCAGATTTGCTTCCCCTCAGATACAGATAGCTAGCTAGGTAGGTAGGTAGGTAGGTAGATACATAGATGGATGGATGGATAGATAGAGAATAGATACTGTAGAGAGAGAGAGAGATAGATAGATAGATAGAAAGATAGATAGATAGATAGACAGATAGACAGCTACACAGAAAGGCTGATAGACAGATAGATGGAGAGTGAGAAAGCCAGATAGAGAGCTAGTCAGATAGACAGATAGACAGACAGTCAGATAGATAGACAGAAAGACAGAGAGACAGAAAGACAGGCAGACAGATAGCTGGACAGATAGGTAGATAGATGGATAGGGCGATAGATAGGTAGGTAGATAGATAGGTTTGTTTGTTTGTTTGTTTGTTTGATTGATTGATTGATTGATTGATTGATTTGATTGATTGATTGATTGATTGATTGATTGATTTGATTGATTGATTCATTGATTGATTGATTTGATTGATTTGATTGATTGATTTGATTGATTGATTGATTGATTGATTTGATTGATTGACTGATTGATTGATTGATTGATTGATTGATTGACAGACTGACAGATAGACAGATAGACAGATAGACAGAAAGACAGACAGACAGTTAGACAGATGGAAAGACCGACCGATAGATAGATAGATAGATAGCTAGCTAGGTAGGTAGGTAGATAGATAGAGAGAGAGAGAGAGAGAAACCCAGAGCCTCAACGACCTTCCGTCCATCACTTCCCTCTGCCATCCATGCATCACAACAACTCACCTTTCCTATAGGTTTCCTATCTTTGAAACTTCCGCCGCTGCCTTGTGCGGTACTACTGGTATGAGCAGATATGATAAGTTAGGAGACAGGAGTTCAGATATCATAAACCAGCATCTGAAGGACATCAAGGTGCTCTTCCAAGATGCTGCAGGGCAACTGGTCAGGGACCTCAGCGGCGCAGTTCTTTCCATGGCTGCGCTGGCCTGCGTTGGGCCAAAACAACCACCTGACCTAGTGACTTATGTAATTGTGATTTGTTGTCATGGTAGAGATACGCTGGAACATGAAAACCAGCGCTTGATAGAGTGGCAGAATTTGTAGTTTTGGATCGAATATGGCTGGATTTTGATGCGACTTCCAGAGATTTCGTGATCCATGACTAGCGTTACTAGCTGCTGACTGAGGAAGTGAAGTTGACGGCCCATCCCACGGAATTCCGAGAGGTCCTAGGCGCTGTTGAAATGTTTGGATGCAGGGTTTCCGGGGTTTCCTTAGCGGTTCCAGAGCATTTTCTCATCAGATCGCTACTTGCGGTGTCTTTTCCCGTGGTCATTTGCAGCGACCGTGGCCATCAGGGGATCACTTCCGGAAGGTGGTGGAGCTGACTGAGATACTTGGAATTACTTGGAATTACTTGGATCGCCGGTAATTCCGGTGATGGAGGGGATCTTCAGGGTGTGGGATGGCAGCGGTGCCTAAGGAAGTACAGCACCATCGATGGATCCCTGCAACAGGATGGAGAGGCTTGAACTGCTTGATTCGCTGCTTGATGGTTGAGAGTGACATCAAACTTTCTGGCAGCATCCGTGTTTGAATTGGAGAAAGAGTAATGATGTTAAATGAAATGATCATGAGATGTATGGATTTTGGGCATTTTTCTCAATGCTTTGCAGACACATGAACCAATCAACCTCATTCAACCTCTGCACATGTCACCGAAGGTGAAACAGCAATACCTGGCCAGTCTCAGTGGGTTGCCCCAGCAGTGCGCAGAATCACAGGAAACAAGTGCCAAATTCACCGGAAAATATTGGCGGAAAAAGAGCAATGCAAATCAATCCAGGAAAACCATGGAAAAATACATGGAAATACCATGGAGTGACAGCTCTATGGTTTGCATTGCACTTCATGACCAAACAGACCAAACTGGACCCACTTGTGCAACTTGCCCAACTTGTGAGGCTCGATGCAAAAAGTGGACCAGGAAGGCTACGAAGAGCAGATTACCAGTGGCCTGGCCCAAGCACTCTACCATTGCACAGTGATTGCAGGGATCATTTGACACAAAACTGAAGGGTGTCCCTCATTCAGTCCGTCCTTGCACACATTCTGTTGACAGAGTATGATTACCACCAAATCCGCAGGGTCCTGGTATTTCAGTGTGCCCAAATTTAGTTGTGGATGTGAATTTGATTGTCTTAGATTTCCATGATGCCTCCAACTGTCTACCGCATGGATGTTATGTATGGCTGTGGCCACCTATGGAACTGAGGCTGTTTTTTTGATCCATATGAGGTTGTGTACGAGGCGAAGACTGCAAAGATGAGCAGAATGTAGATGAAGCAAGTTTCCTCTAGGATCCCAGACGCAGGGTAATGGCAGACATATGTTCTAATGGCAGGTTCACCAGTACCAAGCATTGCCAGGGAACTCAGAGATGGCATTCCAACACATCGCACTTCATGGCACTTTGTTTCTCTGCATGGCACTTCATTGAGGCTGCAGCGTTTTAGTCACCAGGAGGAACAACTGAAGAAGATGCCCGGGCTCTGAGTCATTCAGGTTCTGCTCGGATTCCGAAGTTGAAATGGCCAGGATAGGTGAGAGAAATTGAGATTTGATGATAGTGTTCTTGCAATTTCTCATAATTTCTCTTGTTTCAATTTGTCCCACCGATCACTGAAATGTGGGGCAAATTCTACGCGATCTTCTGAGGTCCAACATGCGCTTTGATGAGGCACTTCCTGAGAACAAGTGCACATTTGTTTGCACGCGTTTGTTCAACTCACAGCTGGACAACGGATTACATAATGAAATGAATCCACAGAATTCCACAGATATCCGGAGGGATTTAGCGTACTTTCCAATGCTTCATTGAATTTTCTACAGTATTCAGCGGCCAGGTTGCAGGGGTTGCCAAGCCAGAAGGTCAAGGCGGTCAAGGAACTGAGAAGGACGAGAACGGGAAGGACGAAGATGAGGTGCGAACATGGTGCGACCGCAACTGCTGTGACGGCTGTGACGGCTGTGACGGCTGTGACGGCTGCAACGGCTGTGACGGCTGTCACGGCTGTGACGGCTGTCACAGAACACCTTGGACACTTTGGGAACTCCGGGCACAGTGGGCACTCGGCAGGTGCAGAGCCAATCGCCGCCGCTTGGTCTTGAAGGGCTGCGCAATGCTGTCCTCGATGAGTTTTCATCGTCATGTCGCCAGCCACCAAGGCATAGTAGCTTCTCTGAAGAGAGGTGCGGACAGTGCAAATATAGATGGTGGGAACCCGCATGATGAAGAGGTTCATCTCAAAAGACAAGATAGACTCAGATAGACAAGAGCAAAATCCTTTAGTTTGAGAAAGCTCCAGCTGTTTCCGTTCCCAGATTTGAACTTAAACCCTTTAGGAGAAAAGTTCCTCGAGGGTTGGATTCCCTTCCAGATTCTGTCATGCTTTTTGCGGAGGAATGGCCTGGATGGAGGGCTGAACGTAGTAAAACTTACAGTAAGACATATCAACACAAGTTGGAACTTATGATTTTCACAAGTTGTAAAAACCCTTCATGAACTCATGAACTGCATGATATGCTTTGATTCTGGATTCTGAATGCAGCCAAATGGCTCAAGCTTTAATACAGTAGTCACAGAAGACCAGATCCATGTCTTATGGTTGCACGCCAAAGATAGCCAAAGATCATAAGCAGATCACAAGCAGATCACAAGCTATAAGATCCAAAAACCTTGAGCCTTGAGCAGCCCGCTTTCATCAGATCCCCAGCCCTGAGACCAAGTTCAATGGCAGCATTTATCCCAATACAAGGGCCCAACTGTATCTCACAAATCTCCACAAAGTGTTCAAATGAAATCACGACGCTCCATGCAGCAGCTTGTTTTCCAATCTTGAGCCATAGGCCCACCAAGTTCTCTGTGACGTGCGTGTCATCCTTATGCAGGGGCCCTGAGGCCTAATCAGCTGTTTCCAAGACTGACCCTTTACAGTCTGACAGCTTCAACCTACATCTTCAAAGTGCGTGTCATCCTTATGCAGGGGCCCTGAGGCCTAATCAGCTGTTTCCAAGACTGACCCTTGACAATCTGACAGCTTCAAAGTTTCAAAAATCAGGGGCTGGTGCAGTTATGTTACCGCACTCCCCCTTTTCCTCGTGGAAAACAAAAACCCCGGCTCTCAGTCTTCCTCCTCATCCTCAGTCACAAGCTCCCAATCATGGTCTTCCCCAGGTCGAAAACTCCTTGGCATCACGGCTTGTCCTCGAGCCTGGATCGATTGAGGTCTTCCGTAACGGCTGCTTGTCTCACTTCTGCGGCTCACCACTGGTTGGTCTTCGGCGGCGAAGCTTCGAGCAGGGCCGTGCACCATTGAGGACTCGGTGGTTGGAGTCGGTGAAGTCATACCGACATAGGGGCCCATACCCAACGCTTCACCCACATCGGCATAGTTGTGTAAGCGGGGCCCACTCTCAGACCCGGCGGACCGGTTGACTTGGATGTGGACTCGCCTGCCCACCATGACTTCCAAATCGGAGTGGCCGCCTTCATCTCCTTGGTAGTTCCCCAGGTAGCCCGCTCGAGGGCCCAGCCTCGACCCCGAAGCGGTAGGTGCCGTTGTTGGTGCTCTCCTCATTCGGAACAGCGTATAGCCGGTCCATTTCTCTTCACGGTTCTTCAGGACCGGATCCATCCAGGAATCTTCTAAGACACTCCGGTTCCCTGTAGGTCCAAAACGAACCTGCACCCTCAATAGTTCCAGGTCGGCAGCAGCACCACAGGGCAAAGTACCCTTCAAGGGGTGGAAAGGCTGCCAGCGTGGCTTGACATGGCATTTCAAGATCCACATCACGCCGCCTTCCTCCATCACCCTCCAGTGATCCTTGGGGCCAGTAGGCGGAGCAATCAAACGGCCACCTTCCCAAGGCCTCGCAGCAGCAGCCGCCGCAGTAGACGCCATGGCCTTCAGCACAGGTCGCGGCCGGTTGGATGGGCAGCCCTGCGGGCAGTGGTTCACTTGAGGTGAGGTTGGCCACACAGCTGGCCTTTTTCTACCTTCAAGTTCAAGCGCCTTTCCACCACGTTCCACTGCACCTACCATCGGCCCATCAAACAACCCAAAAGGGGGCCCTTCGTGGTTTTTTGGCTCACTCCCAAAACAGTTGGGGGATTCCCCAAAAGGTTGTGGATTTTCTGAAATTGGTCCCAGTTCATGTTCCTTGGGCCAATTTGAACCACCGGGTTCACCTTTCACCCTCGGAGGTTCCTCCTTCCTTTTTTGAGCTGGTTCGTTCTCCCTAGCTTCTTGAGTTTTCTTTTTCAGGCCATTGGCTCTTTTTATTTCTTCCTCCCCCCTCTTCTCAACCTTTGCAGGATCAGCAAGGGCAACTACAGTCCCAGCTGCCTCGGCACGTCCAGCAGCTATCCAACGCCAAGCCGAAGTCAGCGCCGTCAGCATCACCGAGCAAGCCGCCCGCAGCCGCCCGCCAGTTTCAGCTGCCGCCCGCGCCAGCGCCTTCATGAGGTCCACAACTTGGTTGAAGGAGTGGAAGTGGTCGTCCACAGGTACCTCAGTCGCCATCCGCACCTTAGTCACCTTAGGAGCCAGGAGGTCAGACGAGCCAACATGAAAATTCAAGAAGACCCAAAACCGAACCCATTCAGTTTTTGACACTATTGGTTTGGTCAACAGATCCGCCACTAGTTCAGTACCCTTCAGGTGTCTCAAAGTCAGGTTTTCAGCGGGATCCTTCAAAGCTTCCCTAAGCCCTGAGGCTCTCAGTCTCAAGTGACGTGTGCGCCATCCTCCATCACTGTTACTAGCGATACTAATGGCACTACAATTATCACCATAAATGACTTTTTCAACTGGCCGAGGTGGTCCATGGGGGGCATTCAAGACTTCCAACAAGGCCTCAACCGACGACAGCATAAGCTTAGATTCGCAGTACCCTACCAACTCCGACTCAGCAGTACTCAGAGTGTGGAACGGTTGCCTAGCTGCTTCCCACTGCACTGGAGAGCCCCCGAGGCACACCACAACACCCTGACAGCTCTTGTCCCCCTGAGGGGCGAAACTCACATCAGAAAACGCTTCCAACAGGTTGTCATGCCTAGGTACTTGGAGTGTTTGAAAAGGTCCATGATCATGTTTTGCAGCTTCATACATCAAACAGTGTTCAACTGTGGTAGCCAAAAAACCCAACACATGCTTTCCCAACATCACAGTCAGCCTCGGTCGCTTGGTGGATTGCCTTCCCATAACCGACACCGCATAGGAAAGATCGGGCCTACTACGAATTGCCAGCCAAAGTAGTTCACCAGTCAACCCTTGAGCAGCCTTGACCTCTTGAGCCGTGGCATCATCTTCTATTTCTTCGGGGATATCAACCTTCGGCATGGGACTACTTCGGGGGATAACATCCTGGTGTCGTTTCAGCAACTCCCTCGTATAGGACTCCTGACCTATCATCAGCTGAGTATCATTTTTCCACTTCAGTTCAAAGCCACAAAAACGAGTCCACTGGTCCTGACCTACGGTTTCAACATCTGAACATTTCCACTCCTGTTTGACCCTTTGGAAAAACCCTTCACGGATTTCGGGGGTAGACAACGCCATAATATCATCCACATAAACTATGACATGTCCAACACAACCAGGTGACCCTTCATCCTTTTTTCCCTTCATGATTTTCCAGAGGTTACCCTCGGCAGTGGACTGCAAAAAGAACGGTTGGTCACCATCCATCCAGGTCATTTTTTCCAAGGTGCTGTCACGGTAGATAGCCCAATGCGCCGGCGACGAGGTGAAGCCATATAGAGCACGGTGCACACGCCATCTTTCCCGTGGCTTGCACACCCCCGCTTCAACCATCACTTTTGGTGGGGTCACTATCACTTCTCGTTGGCTTTCCGTGGGCTGAGGCCGAGGCGCCAAGAGAAAGGCGGTACGTACATCCAGGATACCCATACCCCAACCCTTGGTCACTGAGTGTTGTATGGTGGTTCGAATGAGTGTACCATCAGCTCCAGAAGCATAGCTATTTGGAATGGGATCACTAGCACCATTTAGCAAGTTACCACAAACCACAGCCCTACACTTCCTCCTACCACCTTTGGGGCCAGCCTTCCTAACTGCCACAAGCTTTCCGGGGACAAGTTCAGATCCTTCGGGGAGATCATCAACATCGATTGGCTCTATGGCCTTTGTTTCATGAATGAGACTATCATACTCCTTCTTCATGGCATCAACCCATAGTGGTAACTCCTTCCGAACATCCACCAAGGAAACCGTGGTAGTTTGCAGTACTTCATCATCACCATCTTTCGGGGCCGCTTCATCAACTTGTAACCCGCACAACCGAACTTCTCGGAGTTTTTGGAGGTCCAACCCAACCCTAAGCTGGTTTTCCAAGGCACTCCTTTCAGCTTGCAGTAAGCCAAGTTGCAAGGCACACTGCGCTCCCAGTTGTTCGGTCGTCGGAACAACTTCCAACCATGCAGCCAGTGATCTGGTGACACGTCCATGGTGCCAAGCCAAGGCGCTCTGCCA